GGGATGGGGCTATTGTTAAATGGCAGACAGACTTTTTGAGGTGACAGTCAAAGAAATGAGTAAGGAAACCACAGGGAAGGAGGGTTGCAGTAACAGGCTGTCCAGTGTTCAGTGAAGAGGCCCTGAGGTGAGCGTCCACGCGGCACAAAGAGGCTGGCAGGAGGAGGAGGAGGAAGGCAGGCAGTCGGCAGGATGTGACTGTGTAAGACCTGTCCCTGTCACGCATGTAATGACAGGCCACAGAGACAATGACAATGCCATAAAACTACAAAGGAGCAAAAAGATCCCTCCTGCCTCCTGACACGGTAGCACAGCGTGTTGCTTCCGTGTGCGTGGTGACGCAGGATAAACAAGTCATATGAGACACAGGACGAGAGCACACGTGATTGTGTACAGTACCTAGTTCCTGGTCACGATCAGGCACGATGATGTTACTGGCCCGTGCACTTCCTGTGCCACACTTGGGGGCTGTATTCTAGAATGTGCAGCTACTTGTGCAGCCTGCAGCCGCGGGCTTGTGTGTGTGCAGCCCTGTTCACATCACTCCTCTTGAGCTTGACTAAGTGTCCTGTTGTTCCGCCCATCGTAGCAAGGCAAAGGCGGCTGCTGCTGCCCACAGGAGTCTAAGCTGAGTGACGGACTTGGATGTGAAATCAACAGGGATGAAGGATGAGGAGGATAGAGTCAGGGTGGAGGTCGCCCTCCAGCCAGGTGTGCTCCTTCCCGTGACAGCCAGTGACAGGATCCCACTGACAGAAGCTCTTAAAGAATCTGATCGGAAAAGGTCACAAAACTAAACAACGATAAAAACTCAGGATGTCCTCAAGCACGGGGAAATTTCTACTGCGCTGAAGACCACACACACAACGCATCCCCCGACACTGCCAACCGCAGATGCAGATCTACAAGGATGAAATAGATTGATGACCAACTTTTTAGAACCAACTCGATGATAATGCAATGGGTGACGGTTCATCTCGGGCTTTGGGAGCAGCATGGCATCTGCTGCAATTGCCTAACACAGGGGATTCTTGATATACTGCTGTTGCCTGAGAGGAGCCCTGGGCAATGCATATAGGAACAGGTACAGGCGTGCCCCAGAACAGGCGGTGGAGAGCTCAGCTGGGGCTGGGGCTGACCCAGGCCCATCTCCTCGTGGCTGCATTCCCAGGCTGAGGGCGGTGGCTGGCAGACGGCTGTTACCCAGGGAACACCTGCTCCACGTATGGGGACTTGGGCCCTTTCAGACGATGCAGAGCATTCTACTGTGGCAGTCAGCATCCTTAGACGTGCACAAACTGGCCTTCATGTCAAACAGATTTCTAGGAGTGAGGGTGCTGGACGCCACGTTGTCAGCTGGCCACCATCCACTCCCAGCTCTGGGGCCCCACACTAGTCAGGGCTTGTTCCTACCTCTTCAGGCACTCCTTCCCAGCTACCACTCCTAAACTGAACAAACTACAGTGCCCTTGTAGTAAGCATAGTAGTACCAGCATCCCAAAGGGCAGCAGTTCAAGTCCAGACTGTTCCTCTCCGATCACCACTGTGACACTGTGCACAGGAAAGCAGCAGAGAACAGCCCAAGCACCTGGGGTCCTTCCAACCACCTGGAAAACCCAGAAGAAGCTCCTGGCTTCAGCCTGGCCCAGTCCTTGGTTGTTATGACATCTGGGAGCTAAACCAGGGAGTGGAAGCGCTCACACACGTGTGCCCTCTCTCGCTTGCACTCACTCTGCCTTCCAAAGAAAAACATACATCTTAAAATTTTTAATTAGACAAGGAATCATAGTCCGCCAAAGATGCCCACGCCCTAAATCCCCAGAATCTATGAAGATGTCATCTTGTGGACAAACAGGATTTGACAGGAGTGACAGGGGAGCAATCCCAAATTACTGGGGCTGGCCCCATGTCATCACCCAGGGGTCTGTGGTGAGAAGCCGTGATGTGGGAAGCAGGGTTGGGGGCAGAGTAGACGTAAAAAGGCCTCAACCAGGGCTAGCAGCTTCGAAGACACAGAGGGTCCACAGACCAAAGGACGCAGAGAGGATGGAGAAGCTTGAAAAAGTGAGGGCAGGAAGCCTCCCCTAGAGCTTCTAGAAGCAACACAGGCTTGCTGCCACCCTGTCACTCCGTGAGCCACTGCAGTTGTGGGCCCTTCCCTGCCATGACTGAGTAAACGTGTGTGGCTCTAAGTCACTAAGAGTGGGCCGGCACTCTGGCACAGCTGATTGAGCAGCAGCCATGCAAAGCCTGCACCCCACATGGGTGCCAGTTCCTGTTCCAGCTGCTCCACTTCCAATCCAGCTCCCCGCTAATGCGCCTTGGACCCCAGGAGAAGCTCCTTGGACCCCAGGAGAAGCTCCTGGCTCCTGGGTTCAACCTGGCCCAGCACCAGCCCCAGCGCTGGCAGACACTAGGGAGAGTGAACCAGTAACTGAAATATGTCTGTCAATCTTCCTGTAATACCGACTTTCAAATACATAAATAAATCCTTTTTTCAAAAATCACTGCACTGGCAGTGATTCGCTACAGCAATCTTTGGGATTATTCAGGAATTAACATAAAGCCCCAGAGTACAGTCCCGAGCTGTGTTCCAACGCCTACGGGTAGGAAGCTAGGCATGTATCTAATACCGAGAGAAATGACAGTTTCTTAAGGGTAATGGCATCAAACCGTTATTTGTACTTTTTTAAAAAGATTTATTTTGCATTTATTGGAAAGGCAGATATATAGAGAGGAGGAGAGATAGAGAGGAAAATCTTCCATCCGATGAGTCACTCCCCAAGCGGCTGCAACGACCAGAGCTGAGCCAATCCAGAGCCAGGAGCCTCTCCGAGTCTCCCACACAGGTGCAGGGTCCCAAGGCTTTGGGTCGTCCTCGACTGCTTTCCCAGGCCACAGGCAGGGAGCTGGATGGGAAGCGGGGCTGCCGGGATAAGAACTGGTGTCCATTTGGGATCCTGGTGCATTCAAGGCAAGGACTTTAGCCTCTAGGCTACCACACCAGGCCCTCGTGTGATTATTTGAACAAATTTTAAATACTGCCAATTTGATGAGGGGAAAAATGTTATCACACTGGTTGAATTCTCATTTCACTCACAATCCACAATTTTTTTTTTAATCTTCTATCTTTATTTTTGTATTGATTTGAGAGGCTGAGAGAGAACGTATATTCTCACCTACAGCCCATCCTCCAAAGGCCGGCAAGAGCCAGGAGCTGGAAACACAACCCTGACGGCTTACCGAGCGGGAGGGACCCCGTGACTCAGTCGGGACCCGCTCCTCCCAGGGGCCGGGCCACAGGAACGGCAGGCCTCCGGGCCGGTGTCCCAGTCACCGCATCAGCCCCGTGCTATGATTTTCTTCTCTAACTGTACCAGCGTGCCCTCTACCCCATGCATGCCAACGTTAACGTTGATTCCTGCCCCCCCAAATGTCTCTTGGGGAGGAGGGGCAAAACCTGTCCCACTTCAACCAGAAACTCGCCAATATGGAAGGCAGACGGCTCAGAAACAATCACACGGAGGGGCCCGGGCTAGGGGCGCAGGGGACTCAACTACTGCTTGGTGCCTGCATCCTGGGCAAGGCTGCTCCACTGCCCACTGGCTCCCCGACATGACAGCTCACAGGGAGGGCCTCAAGCTCCTGGGCTCCGGCCACGCACACAGGGAACCCACACGGAGCGCCAGGCTCCTGGCTGTGTGCTGGCTCAGCCCTGGCCACGGCTGCCATTTGGAGAGCGACACAGCAAGTGGAAGCTGTGAGTGTGTGTCGTCTGTCTTTAATTATTTTTTCAGTGACAACCTTGACCCATGGAGGTGGGCGACGCCATTCTCCTGCGCCTCTCACTACCACCCAGAGCCCAGCCCGGGGGCTTTTACTTGCCATTTGAGCATGTACCCGGGTGCCTGGCTCTGGTTCCCAGCTGTGGCTTCCTGCTCCTGCACCCTGTGGGAGACGGTGGGTGACCCTAAGCAACTGGGTTCCCGCCTGCCGCTTGCTTGGCAAGACCCGGGCTGAGGCCCTGGCAGTTGCAAGCAACTGAGGGCGTGACCCACGGCATGGGAGCTTCCTCTCTCTGTTTCTCAAATAAATTAAAAAGAAATAAACGGATTCATCTGGGCTTCTCACCTAGTTCTCTCACAATAAACGCCGTCTCTATGAGAAAGCTCAGAAATGCATATTCCTGCGATGTTAACAAGGCGCCTTCTGAACCCACACAGTAAAGGACCCCAGCACGGAGGGGAGGGACGCGCTGGCGGCTGTGGCAGGGCTTGCCAACCTCCTGGGGCACCCGCCTTGGCGCTCAGGCGTCTAGGTCCCGTTCCCCTGTGAGCACCTGCCGCAGGGAGGTGGGGTTCCCACGTACACCCCCACCTCCAGGTGCCTCCAGCGCCCGAGAAAGACGCCCGGAGGGGGCAGGGAACGGCTGACGTGGGGTGGGAGACCCCCCGAGGGACTGTCGCCGACGAGGCCGGGTGCCCACAGCGCGACCCTGGCGCGGGAGAAGCTGCCCGGGTATCACTTCAGCGGCCACTTCACCCAGTCTGAGGAACCGGCTCCTCAGCCCCGTCCTAGCTCTTTGCCCCACCCCCCAGAGCGCGCGACAGCCAATAGGCGGAGGGGACCCGCAGCCTCGTTTGGAAGAGCCAATCAAAAGCCACCGGGACCAACTATGACAACCCTGGGAACCAATGAAAATCGGGATTTTTTTTTTTTTTTTAGCGTACCAGCCCTAGTCCCTGAGAGACTTCGCAGGTGAAGTTTGTTTTAATACGGTACAATTCCGAAGACCACGAGACATGTTATTTGCAAAGGCGAGCAGAGAGACGTACAGACGCGAACAAGCTGGCACTTGACCGAAATCTCAAAGGCTGCAGCTTCCACACAGTCCAGCCTCGAGCTACGCGCCCGCCGCGGGAAGTAGCGTGCGGCGCGCTGACGTCACGCGCCGGCCACGCCCCCGAGGCCGCCCTTATAGCGTAGCTCGGCCGCGCGCGCGCACCATTGTGTGGCTGGACTCGGCCGCTGCTGCGGTGGGAAGCCCGTGTTCGGGTTTTTTTTTTTTCTTCCCCGCACCCGCATCGCGGCTGCCGCTCTGCGGTTAGCCGTTCGACATCTAATTCCGGCACCACGTCCACCACGGATATGCCGCGCGTCTACATAGGACGCCTCAGCTACAACGTCCGGGAGAAGGACATACAGCGCTTTTTCAGCGGTTATGGCCGACTCCTCGAAGTAGACCTCAAAAATGGGTGAGTCGCGCCTGGGCGCCCACGTCCCGGGCCCGGCCGGGGGCTGTCGGGCCGCGCAGGCCGCGGAGGCCGCGGCGCCGCGTGGCAGGGCCTCCCAAGATGGCGGCGGCGCGGGGCCGCGGGCGCGCGCGGGGGGTCGCGGGCGCGAGCGCGTGCGCGCCCCCGGCTAACGGCGCCGCCGGCCCGGCCCCCCGACCGCCCCTCCAGGTACGGCTTCGTGGAGTTCGAGGACTCCCGCGACGCCGACGACGCCGTTTACGAGTTGAACGGCAAGGAGCTCTGCGGCGAGCGCGTGATCGTGGAGCACGCTCGGGGCCCGCGCCGCGATCGCGACGGCTACAGCTACGGAAGCCGCAGTGAGTCGCATCCCCGCGCGCTCCGCGTCCTTGGTGGGGGGGACCCCGGCGGGGGGCGGGCGCAGGCCCCGGGGTGGGCTGGGCGGGACGGGGCCTCCCCGTCTGGGAGGTCGGGGGGAGGGTGGTCGTGGGTCTCGGGCCGCCACGCCTGCCCGGGGAAGCCGTGGGACGCTGGAGCGCGGGGATCGGGCCTGGGGGTGGGAGAGGGTGGGATCTGCTGATAAGCCCCTGGGCACTGACGTGGCTTCTGCCAGGGGTGGCCGTAATTACTGTGTTTCCCACCCTGGCTCACCTGTCAGTGCAGCAGCTGCGAGTGTGGGGGTCGGAGAGCAGGCGGGGGAGGGCAGGTGGGGAAAGGGGGGCGGGGAGGAGCTAGAAGTTAGGGTTCAGGCAAATTGGCGGGGGACAAAGAAAATGGCAATTCTTCAGGTGGTATTCTGCCACCCGCAGTTGTTAATGAGCCTTATGCCATACGTGAACTGTTGGGGCATGCTATTGGGAGGGAGGGTGGGGGTGGTTATGTTGAATGTTTGTTGAAATTGCATGTTGAATTCAAACTTTTTAACAAGTCCTTGATGTTTCAATTTGAAAGTGACCATTGGGGCTGAGGCTGTGTCCACTGAGGCTAAGATGACTGCCTTTCCTGATTGGCCTTGGCTTTTCCATACATTGTGTGACCCTTGCCCTATGACCCTTTGGCTGACCTTACCGGAAGCCATGACGACAGCAGCCTTTTGCCATTAGACGCAGGGTGATGGTGAGGATTCCAAGGGTTAGACAAAACTGGTTAATCTGAACTAGGTGACTGTTACCTTGCGTGTTTTGTGGCCAAACCACCACCAAAAACCTCACACTGTGATGTAAGTACTTAGTGTAACTAGTAAACATTTTTGTAAAATGTAGAAATGCATGTAATCAGTTAAGTTTTATATTTTACAATGTTATGTAAAATAAAACTTAGCGAGGTAAATTGAATAAAGGAGCAGTCACTCTCTAACAGATTGTAGGAGAGGCTTAGTTGGATTTAGTCTATTTGACTTGCCCTTACTTTAATTTATGGCAAATCACAAATGTATCAAAGGTTTAGCAGTGTAATAGCAAAGTCCTACTCCAGTAAATGAAAGTTGATATGTTTGTACTAACTATCAAAACGTTATGCAGCCTTACCATTGCAAAGCATCTGATGGTTTTCTTCGTGTGATAAAGGTGGTGGTGGTGGATACAGCAGTCGGAGAACTTCTGGCAGAGACAAATATGGACCACCTGTTCGTACAGAGTACAGGCTAATTGTAGAAAATCTTTCTAGTCGGTGCAGTTGGCAAGATTTAAAGGTGAGTGCTCTGTAACTTGAGAATAAGCTGCTTAGATGTTTGTTTGGCTTTCTGGATCTAACCATTCTTCCTGTTTCAGGATTTTATGCGGCAAGCAGGTGAAGTAACCTATGCGGATGCGCACAAGGAACGCACCAATGAGGGTGTGATTGAATTTCGCTCCTACTCAGACATGAAACGTGCTTTGGATAAACTGGATGGTACAGAAATAAATGGCAGAAATATTAGGCTTATTGAAGATAAGCCACGGACAAGCCATAGGCGGTCTTACTCTGGAAGCAGATCTAGGTAACTTATCTTGAAGGGCGTGGAGAGGAATAACAGTAATTTTTAGTTAATTGAACCAAAGCCAGCTCTTGTTACACTTTCTGCTTATATGTCCTTGAATTCTTTGCCGGGTGTTTTGATAGTTTAATTTTGGAAGTACACAGATGCAGAAGTGTGTATGTGTGGGTGGCTGATAAAAGTGCAGAGGTTCTTGAGATGAACGGCTCGCTGATGTTTGTTGCAGGTCACGGTCCAGGAGAAGGTCTCGCAGTAGGAGTCGCAGGAGCAGCCGCAGTAGATCGCGAAGCATCTCAAAGAGTCGCTCCCGGTAGGTCCCTGCTGTCCTCTGTTCTGGGGACGGGGGTGTCCAGCACCAGGTACTGAGAGGAATCTGACTTTTTTCTGTGTGCAGGTCCAGGTCGCGGAGCAAAGGTCGGTCTCGGTCTCGATCAAAAGGCAGGAAATCTAGGTCAAAGAGCAAATCCAAACCCAAGTCTGACCGGGGCTCTCGCTCACGTTCTCGAAGCAGATCTAAGGATGAGTATGAGAAATCCCGAAGCAGGTCTCGCTCTCGATCTCGGTCCCCCAAAGAAAATGGAAAAGGTGACATTAAGTCAAAATCCAGATCAAGGAGCCAATCTCGTTCCAATTCACCCCCCCCTGCTGCACCCTCAAAGGCTCGTTCTGTGTCCCCCCCACCAAAAAGAGCTACTTCAAGGTCCCGTTCTAGATCTCGCTCGAGGTCAAGGTCCAGGTCCAGTTCCAGAGATTAACTCAGAACTCTCCGTTCTTTGCACACTATTACAGAACTCTTTCCTACTTGCTTAGGCAGTTCCTCTTCCATGTTTGTACTCGTCCTCTGCAATAAGAGGAATCTCCTGCAAACAGGGGCACTCAAATTGGATTTGTAGCCAAATTTTGACAAAAAGATGAGGTTCTAAAATGGTGGCATGAAGTCAAAGACCCTCTCCCTTCTTTGTAGAATTAAGATAACTATGATTTTATAGCTTTTGAGCTAAAATAACTTTTGTAAAGATTAAGCTCAATTAGATTTTTTTTTTTTTTAATATTTCAGCAGGATCTGCTGCAGGGGTTTTTTGTTGTTTTATTTGTTGCTTATTTTTAAATTAACCGTTTCAAGCTTTGGATACTTAAGGCTATAGAGGGAGAACCCAATTTTCAATTATGTTGGCTTTTTATAAAGCTTGAGTTAATGTAAGATTTAAAATAAAAGTTTGCTACCAAGATGATTGCCTTATTGAGTAGGTCACTATTAAATTCTTTCAATGTTTATTTGCTGTTTGTGGAAACAATGTAAATTCTACAGAAGTGTAAAACAAGGCAAGTCTCAGACCAGCAATAAATTATTCAGTTTGAGTAACATTATTTTGTGCTTTTAATAAAAATTTCCAGTTTTCATTTGCCCCCACTAACAAGTAGGGTGAAAATTCCTAGTTGTTAATCGGTCTTTGCCCAGTTTGCCTAAATTAAATACTTTTTTCCAAACTTAAATTTGAGCACTTGGACAAATCACTCCCTAATTGTTAGGATCTTCTAAAGCTTAATGATTCCACTTTCTGATAGTGGTCAGTGTAAGAGTGTAGTTCAGTAGACTGTAATGTTTGTCATGTGAAAATGGGAATACACTTTTCTTTGATGAGAAACTTAGTGCAAAGTCAGAGAGCTTAGACTGCATTTTCTGCTGGAAGTTCGTTATGCTTAACAAGCACCTAACAGATCACTTGGTAAGATTAGTTAACGATTAAGTTTCTTCAACATCGATTGCCCTTGGTAGTTAGTTGGGTCATAGGGTAATTAGTTAAATCATCTTAGTACAATTTATACTTTGTGTGGTTGATTTGGAAAACATGGGTAAGCTCAACTCTGTACTTTATTATGAACAAAGCGTAATGCCTACTGTAGAAACCAAATTGATGCTACAAAAATGTGTAAATTACTGGGTTAGTTTTAGTCTCTGCATCTAGAAGCATAGTTAGTTAAAGCTGCAATTTGAAAAGTTAATTGCCTTATGTCCCTTTGTTCACTTTTAAATTTTTCATACTTAAAAACTTACTAACTTTAGTCTGAAACCAAGATGTGGACAGATTAATGGGCACAGTTTGGATAGCCTTCCTAGGCTAACAGAGTGGGACTGCAGTGTGCTGTGGAAGTGACTAGAAGATGTGGTGATGTTCCATTTTCTGGGGCTGGTTTATAGGTTCAGGTAATCCAGAAGACATCCATCCCTAGTAAAATGAGGCTGGAGGGAAACAGTACATACATACAAGGGCTTAGGTTGCAGTCACAGAAACTGGGAGTGTAACAAGTTCCTAAACTCCCTGTTAACAATCTGATTTAAGGAATATAGGCAGTTTCCCCAAAAGACCACTACTTCTAGATGTTTGCAAGAAATGGGTGTATCTTTTTCCCATCATAAATGTTAGAATTTTAGAGAAGAAAATGCATATGGTTCATTATTTTGCCTGTTAAAAAAGAATAAATAATGACTTAATTGGCTTTAAAAGTTGATGAGCCACAGCCTCTCAAGGAGGAGTGTCAGTGTCAGATAATAGCAAACAGCATTTTCATGGGCTCTCAGTGGCGATAGACATTTAAGTGTTGTTAGCATCCCTGAAAATCAGGTTATTGTACATTGTGAAAACCTGTACCCAGTAACAATCTTGCTGATAGGAAAGACCAGTTTTTCAGAGTTGAGTTGTAGTCCATACCTGTAGGCTTCGGTGCTTGTACATAGCCAGTCACTGTTGGCAACACTGGCCACTTGCAGGCAGTTAAACAGATGTTTGGGTGCTTGCCGATGTGGGTGAGTGCCTGGCATGTGCTCTTCAGGCTGCATGGGGGGGTCTCCGGCTGAACTAGAACAAAGCAGAAATGAGGAACGTCTTCTTGGTTGTCCTTTCATTTAATTGGGATTTATTGACATGCCATAGTGCCTTTATGGCATAAAAGTTCCCACTTCTATGTTGCTACTTTTTATCTTTGAATCTTCTTTCTCCCACTTTGTTAATCTATTTTATGCTTCATCAATAAAATGCTTATTGCTGAGGGAAAGGCTGGTTTCCAGTTTGTTTTGTGTTTACCCTTAGCACTAGATTTCTTGGCAAATGGCCTTCTGAGTTAGAGCATGCTATTGCAAAACAATTTCTCAAGTGTGAGCCAAGAATCCTTTGAGACCAACGTGATAGGATGGCTTGTCTTGGGCAAGTCATGAACTTGGTGCTTCAGTGCCAAATGTGAAACCAGGTTTGAAAATTAAAGCTTAACACCTGAAAAGTAGTAACAGTGGTACCATAACAGTTGCTAGCTTCTATGATGGATTAAGTAAACGAGGTCATTTTTTTTTTAAGATTTATTTATTTATTTATTGGAAAGTCAGATATACAGAGAGGAGGAGAGACAGAGAGGAAGATCTTCCATCCGATGATTCACTCCTCAGGTGAGTGCGACAGCAGATACTATGCCAATCCAAAGCCAGGGGCCAGGAACTTCTGGGTCTCCCACACGGGTGCAAGCTCCCAAAGCTTTGGGCTATCAGGGAGCTGGATGGGAAGTAGAGCTGCCAGGATTAGAACCAGTGCCTATATGGGATCCCGGTATGTGAAAGGCAAGGACTTTAGCTGCTAGGCCACGCCACCAGGCCCTACGAGGTCATTCTTGTTTATAATTATCTGTTCATGTCTTAACAGTGGTTTGTACATTTTCCTTTTTCAAAAAGGTCTTTTTAAATTGGAATATCAGATTTACAAAGAAAAGGAAAGACTGGTCTTCTGTCAGCTGATTGACTCCTCAAGTGTCCACAACGACCAGAGCTGAGCTGATCAGGAGCTTTTCCAGGCCTCCCACACAAGTGCAAGGTTCCAAGGCGTTGGGCTGTCCACTGCTGCTTTTCCAGGCCACAAGCAGGAAGCTGGATGAAAAATGGGGCAGTTGGGACACATTGCTGCCCAAATGGGATCCCGGCGCATGCAAGGCCGGGACTTAAAGCCATTAGACTACCATGCTGGGCCTAAGATTCATCTATTTTTACCTGAAAGGCATTTTCAGAACTATCTTCCATGTAGTAGTTGACACCTCAAATGGCCAGAGATGAGTCAACCCAAAGCCAGGAGCTTCATCTGCGTCTCCCATATGGGACAGGATCCCAAGTACTTGGGCCATTTTCCCCTGCTTTTATCTACAGGCACAGAGCCAGATAGGAAGCGGAGAAGCCGAGATAAACCAGTGCCCATTAAAGGAAAATATTGGGGAACTCTTGCAGTTTAGTACAGTACAGTAATTGGCAATTTACATGCCCATCTTCGGTTTTTACTGTCAGTATAAGCATTTTCTGCTGATTTTTAAATGGGGAAGGGCAGAGTGATCTTCATTCAGGGTTAATTGGCAGGTAAACCTAGGGCCAAGTGTGAGGCAAAGCCTGGAACTTCATCCTGGTCTTGGGGTGGCAGGGACCCAAAGCACTTGGACCATCTTTTGCTGCTTTTCCCAGGCCATTGGGAAGTGGGACAGTGTCCATTGGGACAGTTATTTTTATCATGGCAATTTTTTTCCCCGCCCCCCCGGGGGCAGTCAGAATTCCAGAGGGAAGGAAAGACTCAGCTCTTCATCTGATTAACTTCCCAGATGATTGCAACAGACAGCAGCTGCTGGACTGATCTGAAGCCAAGCAGTTCTGGTCTCTCATGTGGGTACAGGGTCCCAAGTCCTTGGGGTGTCTTCTGTGGCTTTACCAGGCCATTAGCAGCGAGCTGAATCAGAAGTGAAGTGACAAGGATTTGAACCAGCAACACCCATAGGAGATGCATCACAGATGGAGGCTTAACCTGAAGTGCCATGATACCAGCCCCTTCACAGGTAGTTTAACTTGCTGTGCCAAGTAACTGGCCTCAGTCATTGGGTGTGTGAACTCTGGTGCCAAGCTGGAATGGTTCCTCTTGGTGACCTAGAAGAAATTTTACCCATCTCAGAACACAGTTTATTCTGAGCCAGGAATGTGCCAGGATTAGACGTTGCATTACTCCATGCCCTGAGGACAAGAAGCTGGGTTGCATCAGGCTATCCAGTCATGGGGTCGTGGATGCCACAGCTTGAGTACTCATAGAGTGGATCAGCAACCAGCTCAATATGAGCCTGAGTGTAAGGTTCAGTGAGATTGTAGGTGACGGCTGCTATGGGTTGGATGCAATTAAATCTAGTAGCAATGCAGGTGTTGTCTTTGTAATGTTCCATCTCTTGGTCGTCTTCACCTACTCCTATCCCATTCCCCAATTCATCCTGTATAGAAATAGTAGCGAAGTACATGTTTGGTGTGATTTTGCCCAGATATTTTCAATTCAAAGTTGTTCTGTGAGTGCAGAATCCACGGATGTGAAGGACTGCTTCTCAGGAGCAAGGACCTAACAGTACCAAAAGCAGTCAACATTGCCATGATCCTATTGAGTCCCCAGTTCCCATTTGAATTCCATCATTCCCTGGGAGCCTGCATTGTGTAGCAAAGTCAGTCTGTAATGGCCAGCCTCCCATGTGGAAGCTGGCTCCCAAACAGCTGGAACTTAGCCTGTCTGGAGCCAGCAGCTTTCTGAGTCTCCCATGTGGGTGCAAGGGGCTCAGTGCTTTCCTAAACCATAAACAGAACTGGGTTGGAACTGTAGAAGCTAAAACACAATCCTGGCACCCATATGGGATGTCTGTGCCATAGTGCCAGCATCAGTAAGGGACAGATTGAACAAGATTTCCCTCAATTTGGATTTCTCATGGGTCTACGTGACCACTGTTTCGGCAGAGGTATTCCAAGAAAGATGGCTCTGTGTCTTGTAGCCAGAGCCTTTGATAAGCTGGTTCATTATAAATTTAGTCCCTGTTTCGCTTTATAATTTATAAAAGGATACTGAGGCCTATAAAAAGCATAGTTCAAACTGTCAACATGAGGATGTGCCACAGTATTAGTGGTATTACAAGCCGTATTTGTTGGCATGCTGTAAAAAAGCTACAAAAGGGCCCGGCGCGGTGGCACAAGTGGTTAAAGGTCCTCACCTTGCACGCCCAGGATCCCATATGGGCGCCGGTTCTAATCCCGGCAGCCCAGCTTCCCTTCCAGCTCCCTGCCTGTGGCCTGGGAAAGCAGTCGAGGACGGCCCAAAGCTTTGGGAACCTGCACCCGCGTGGGAGACCCGCAAGAGGCTCCTGGCTTCGGATCGGCATAGTATCGGCCCGTTGCGCTCACTTGGGGAGCGAATCATGGGACGGAAGATCTTCCTCTCTGTCTCTCCTCTCTGTATATCCGCCTTTCCAATGAAAAAATAATAAAAATAAATCTTAAAAAAAAAAAAAGCTACAAAAGTAGAATTCATGAGAAGGCTGATCAGGAGAAAACTTGGATGGTACCAGGCTGAATTGTTACTGTGAATGCAAGAAGCAGTCCCTTAGTCCAGGACCGGAATGGAGTGGGAAAACATTTGTAAGAGGAACATGCAAGAGAGAATTAGCTGCATCCTCACACATAAACCAACACCTGTTTTAAAAAAATAGGCGGTCGTCAGTGCTCGGCACAGTCGTTAAGTAGTAGGTGCCTTTGGGAAAAACATTCTAGAAATAGCACAGATTGGCCCTCATGCAGCACTTGAAACCCTAGTGAGAATATGATGAACTCCTGTACTCCTGTAGCTCTGATAATATCTGCCTGTCTGCGTCCACAGAATCCTCAGCATTGCTTCTGTATATAATTGAGCATGTACCTCTAAAAGATTTCAGGAACCATGACCTCAGTTTGTTAGTTAACATGTGCCCACTCCAAGGGACACAGGCACCAGGGAAGTAGCAACAGTGGTTGAAATGGTTAGTTTTGCACTCATTTAAAGGTCTGAAATTTCTAGTCTTTCCTTTCTTCCCTCACAGTCATAAAAGACCCAGGTCACTGTCCTGTAGTTTCCTGTTCTTAGTTTTGCTGATTACAATCTTAGGTCACTTGGTGTGTTATCCTCTGCGTTTTTGCCTGAACTGGTCATATTCAAAGGATGGTCCCTGTGCTAGCAGCAGGCTCTGAGGATTTGTTAGAAATGCAGCTTACCAGGCCCCATATACCACAATTGTGCCCTGTTGTGCTTACAAGCTCTCCCTGGGCTCCTGTGGTTGCCATTTGAATTCTTATTCTTGCCAAGACTGTTCAAGTATCTCTGCCATGATGACAGCTACGGATACCAAGCTCATTTTTACCAGTTACTCTGCTGAGGTTCTTGTTACTTGGCCATTTTATCAACAAGACCCAACACATTGCCTGCAGAGTTTTTGAAATAGTCCTAAAGCGTGTCAGCTTGCTTGCTTTCTGGACAATAAGATTTCCGGGCCCATTTTGTTTGCAGTCCCAAATTTGATAGCATCTGGTTCTCCAGGAATCTCTGGTTGTTGGTTCTTGAAACCAGCTACCCCAGGCTGGTCTCCTGCAATGTTTATTGCCACTTGTTTGGCCAGGGGCCTTTTCTGTAAATGCAAGCTGGGAGACAGTTGCTCAACTCCCCCCTCCAGCGAGACAGATTACATCACCTGAACAGCTGACAGTCCCCTCTGGTTTAGAAAGCCACTCTCAACCCTTCCTCAGTATAGCAGCTTTGAATCCCATATCCCCTGGTTGTCCTGGGTTCTGGTGTCCATGTGTGCCTCTGGAAGAGCAAGACCCACTGGTAACAACACCCCGTGCATGACCTCACTGCCCTAACGGGCTTCCTCTCTGGCAGAAAGAACATATTAAAAGGAAATGGTTTCTCTATGACCCCTGCAGAATCCAAAGTTTTAACAGACAATGCATCATCACACGGGGCCTCAGTTGTAACCACAGCATGCAAAAGGATGAGTGCATAAGACTGGTTACACCTAGCTGTAGCGCTGATACAGCGCTGCCTACAGGGCCAGCAGGAACTGATGGAGAGACAAAAGTCATGAGATGATCAAAGCTCATGGGTGTTAGAGAAATCTTCCAAGTGTCGATTCCCTGAGTCACTGTGCACCATACTCACTTTGGATAAATGTAAAAGGCCTGACCAGATGTGTGGTGGAT